GGAATGCCTTTTCTTTTATGAGAGCCAGGTTTACCCACAAATCTCAACTATTGATCTGAACATGCAGAATAGGATTTCCAGCAAAAATCAATCATAGAACTCTAGAACATTCTAGAATGATGCATTATGAGAATCTAAAACCTTAGAATTTAGTATGGTTTTCTGCCTTGGAGTCCCTCTGCTGTATCCTGAATTTTTAGGTGAGTTTGGTGAAGAATTTAGAGAAAATTTATTTTTCCAATCCCAGCTGCCTGAAGTTCTCATTTTCTATAGTTCGGACATTACCGTGAGGCAGTATATTCTCTGCCTTTGACAATTCCCAAAAAACTACCACATTAGTGCCTTTAAAACCACAAATTTTATTCAATAGACTCCTAAAACATGTAGTCTGTGTTGCCAAAGGGTGTGTTGCCACATTGAATCTCTATATGGGAAGGGCATAAGACTGGTTCCTCTCGCCCTGTTCTGTCCTGTCCTGTCCTCTCCTCTTTCCTTTCCTTCTCCTTTCCTTTAAAATTCTGTTTAATTCATATAACTATGGAATTTCATTGGAGATAGAAAGACCACTTTCTAATAGCAAAATATGACAATATTTTTCTGTGCATTGAGACTGAGATTTTCATTAGTCAGGTCACTAGAAATGGTGACAATATTTTTCTTGCTGAATTATTATTTTTCTGATATAAATCTCAGAAATTGTGACTTATGTTGAAAAATCCATATTTAAAAAATTAACTTGCTAGACAATCTACTTTAGTTTTCCTTCAAACTTCCTAAACAACAGGTTAGCCTTTAGGATATAATGTTCCAAGCTTTACTATTTATTTGAGATTTCTATTACATTTTCTGTGCTTCCATTGCAAATTGTTGTGAAAATATAATTTCAATAATAAATTAATGATTTTATTATTGAAATTATACTTATGTGAACTCATAGAGGTTTCAGAGTATATTATTGCAGTTATGGTATTCATAAACAAATGAACCATAAAAAACATTATTCACAGTCACAAAATAGTGATCCAATAATGGAATAATCACTCCAACCAACCCTGAAGACAACATTCATACAAATTTAGGTAAATGTATAGTATAATTATTGATACTTATACCAAAAAAAAAGATAAATTGTGTTATATAAACCAAAATGAACATGACCTTATGACTGAATTCAGCAATATGTTGAATTTAGAAATATGTTGAATTCCACGGGACCACAAATCATTATATTTTCACTTAATAGAATGGTAGGGAATTTTTCTCATGTTTTTGTTTTTTTTTTACCTTTTCATCTTCTTCTTTTTCATTTTTGCTTTTTCCTTACCTATCTTGGATGTAAGCTTCTGAGTGGTAAGAAGTGGCTTGACATTGGTGGCAGAGTGACAGAACTTAAGGATCCCTGTGAAAGCAGAACTAAATTCTAATCCTTAGATCAAATATTTATGATAATAACTACCTAAAAATATTAAAAAACATACAATAAATACATAAACACACACACACATACACACACACACACACACCTCACATGCCTTTTAAAGAAGGATCCAGCATTTGTTACGCTCTGTGAATTGAAGAATTGTAGTAAAACCTTATGTCATCATTTCGCAATTGCAGTGCTGGTATTTAAAGCTGATGAGATTTTATGGGCAAACAGAGAAATTTGTCCTAGTTTTGTTCTTCACGGGTCAAAACTGGAACTATTCTTTTGAGACTTCAAGATAATGCACTTGTGTTTGCATCACCATATGCATAAACACATAAAAACAGGGTGCAATTGCTGCTTCATTAGTTTTACATGTTTGTGTTGTTACTGAAAAGTGCACCCATTGTTTATAGCTCCCAAAGAGACCCTGAATGCACATTGTTCATTGGAAAACTTTTTTTTTTTTTAGTAATTTTTGTTTGAGAAAAAATGAGCAAAAAAAAGAATACTCCAAAGTAAAGGAATTATTATAGCAAATTAAAAGGAACATAAGTATTATTTAAATACTGTCTTATCTTTTTAAATGCCAACTACAGTTTCACTTTTTTTAAATTTAAAGCTCTAAAAAAGATGTCTTTTAACATTATTTTAGAAGTGTATTTATTTTTTATGAGATTTCAAGTTTAAAATTTTATATTAAACAATAATATTTAAGTTCTTTTATGTAAAGAAATGTTAGGTGTATCAAGTAGCATAACTACTTTTAAAAAGTATTAACATTTTTTATTATTAATGGAAATCTTCATATATCAATAATGACTAAATATCAATGAACTGAACTCACGAATTTAAAGACACAGAGTAGCAGTGTGGATTCAAAAACAAAATCTAGCTATATGCTGCCTTCAGGAAATACATCTCAGCTGCAAAGAGAAACATAAACTCAAAATGAAGGAGTGAAAAATGATACTCCAAGAAAATGTCATCCAGAGAAAAGTGGGTGTAGCTGTACTTATGTCAGACAAAATAGATTTTAAAATACAAAAAGTAACTGGAAACAAAGGCAGACATTTTACAATGATAAAGGGGACAATACATCAAGAAGACATAACACTTATTAATACATATGCACCTGACCTACAAGCACCAAAGTATATGAAGCAACTAACAGAACTAAAGGGAGAAACTGACTAAAACACAATTATAGTAGGAGACCAAAATACCCCATTAAAACCAATGAATAGGTCATCCATACAGAAATCAATAATAAAATATTGACCTTAGATGCCACATTTGACCAAATAGACATAACATTTACAGAGCTTTTCATTCCAGAGCACAAGCATATACATTTTTTTCTAGTGCACATGAAACATTATCAAAGATAGACGATATGTTGGGATACAAAACTAGCCTTAACAAATTTAAGAAGATTGAAATCACACCAGCATATTCTCTAACCACAGTGCTTTGAAATTGGAAATCAACTGAAAAAAGAAAGTGGGAAAAAACAAAAATATGTGGAGATTAAACAACATGCTACTAAAAAAAAAACTAGGTCAAAGAAGAAATAAAAGGAGATCAAAACGTGCATAGAGACAAATGAGAATGACAATACAACATGAATTTTTGGGATACAGCAAAAGAAATACTAAGAGGGTAGTCTATAACATTACTGGCCCACCTCAAGAAACAAATAAAATGTTTAAATAAACCACCTAACATTTTACCTAAAAAAAAAAAAAAACACCTAGAAAATAGAACAAATGAATCCCAAAGTCAAGAGAAGGAAGGAAATAATAAAAATTGGAGCCAAATTAAACAAAGTAGAGAATAAAAAGGCAATAGAAGTAAGTTAATGTAACAGAGAGCTGGTTCTTTGAAGGGATTAATGAAATTGACAAACTTTGGGCTAGACTCACTAAGGAAAAAAAAGAAAAAGCTCAAACAAAATTAGAAATGAAAGAGAAGTTACAATGGATACCACAGAAATATAAAAA